CAGAAAGAGACTGTGAGCTATAAATACATGGCCTTGCAGAAAACATTCTGCCTCTCCTGGGGATCTGCAAAGCCTGCTCTTTTCAGGCCTTGGAATTTGTTCTGAATCAGGCTGGGACTCTCATCCCAACGCCATTCCTCCTCTTGCCCTTTCCAACCTTCCTCTACCTTCTAGAGTTTTTTTTTTTTTTTTTCCCGAGATCTCCTGGATCTGATAGTGGGCTGAAACAAATTCTTGCTTTTGTGCAGGCAGCAAAGATCAGGGATTAAAGAGCACAAGCTCTGTGGACCACTTGGCTGGGGCTGGGCTCCTGCTGCAATACTGCTAGTTCCCGCTGCAATACAGAGTAGCCAAGAGGACAAAATGCATTAAAGCTTATGAACTTAAAACAGTGCTCACAAGCACTCAATAAACATTAGTATTTATTAGTATTATATTATGGTGAGCATTCAATAAATATAGGTGTGACTTGTCAGCCTCTGGCTGATTCTAGTCTGTTACTGTCCACCCTCAGCAGAGTTCTCCAGTTCCAACCTTCACACATTCACCCATACTCTGTGTTCCTGGGCCACTGACTTATGTGACAACTAGGAGCAGCTCTTTTTAATCTTCCGAGGCTTCAGCTAGAGAGATCAAGAAGTGATCTAGGAGTTACATCATCATCATCATTATATCTGACATTTGCTGAAAACTTACTACTATCCCAGATACGTACTGTACATTATTTTATTTAATCTTCCCAACAACCCCACACTCTGCATTATTATTCACATTTATGGTTGATGAATCCGACTCAGGGGGATTAAGTTATTTGTCATTCAAGGTCACACAGATCCCTTTCCTGAATTGAAGACCATCTCTATCTAGCTATAGTCTGACTTCCTAAGGACATGAAGTAGCCACAAAGAAGCATCTGGGTGAGTTATGGACAGCTACTATTTTCTTTGTTATCTGCTTCTCTCTAAAACCACTCTTGTTCTCTGTGCTTGGCCATTTTGAAGTAGTCTTGGCTTAGCGGTGGCCATCTGGCATCAGCTCATGCAGCTTTTGTGAAGTCACATGTGGTCCCGGAGTTGCCAGGAAAAGGATGCTTTGATGAGCCAAAATGCAAATTCCTTGGGAGAGGAAAAGTGAAAGTGAGCTTGTTCACACTGTGCAGGCTCCAAGGAAATGACACAAGTCTAGAGACACAGTGTCCTGTGTCTAGCCTTCATCATATTACAGGGACATCATTCTGCTTTCAATCATAAACTTGCCTCCCTACAGTTTGCTTCTTTGGTCAGTAAGAGAAGCAGTGGTGACACAAATTTAAAAGGAGGTGATATTCGAAATGCTAAAGTTGGGTGCCTCTAGACATGTACAATGCATCCTCTGGGAAGCTAGGGATGGGATGGGGGTAGGGGAGTGGGAAGCATGTTTTCCTCACCAGTCCCTAGAGGTTTCCTTGTCCTAGAGACAAGTCACTCAAAATAGATCAAGGCCAGGAGAAAGGAATTAGAGGACCCTTGTCCAGTTTATTCACATTTGAAAGGATTCCTAGGGCCTTCACTGGCATTTCCAAAAACTCTTCTTTGGCTATGTGTTTTTCTCACTTTTTCTGTCCCTCTTCTTCTCTTCACTTTTTTTTGTTTGTTTGTTTGTTTCTGCTGGTCTTCCACAGAATTCCTGCCCATTGTGCCCATCAGGGTCTCAATACCTCAGGGAAGGTAATTTTTCCTCTAGCCAAGCCCAGGGCTGGGTTACCTGGGCTTTGAATACTCTTTTTGTCAATAAATTCCTGCCCTGCTTTTTGCCTCTCCCAGACCTTCTAAGTTATATTTATAACCAAAGACTGGGGCCTGGGATCTGGTGATTGCTGGCATTTTAGACCAGCACAATTAATGGCATTGTCCATAGACAACATTGTCCTGGAGAGTTTACTGAGCGGCATTCGTAGTTTTTAAAAAGACGATTAGAAGTTTGATTTGACCCAAAGTTTTGAGATTTCTGAATGAACCCATCTGATTAAAAGAAAGCCATATTTAGATGTTTAAGGTGAGAAGCCCTGATAAATTCAAACCAGATCAGCTGCTAATCCCCAGACCAGAGTAGGTAGACTGTGGCCTCTCCTCAAATGACAGGAATTGAATTGTTTATGGACAGGGCCCAACCAGAGAGGTACCAAGGTAAGTACCAGAAGTCCACAGAAGGCTTCTGCTTGAAGAAGGTGGCCAAGTCAGACAGTCCAAGGAAGAAGCAGATTGTATCTTGGGGCTGTGGTGATGACCCCTTCCTTCCAAGGGGGATCATTGAAGCTGATCATCAGAGACCCCCAACCCCCCATCTCTTCCCTATGTAGTCTTGATTCTGGAACTTTCCCATTTGGGTTTCTTAGAGTGTAGTTCAGTAGTTCTCATATCCTCTATACAGCTTGCTAAAACACAGATTGCCAGGCCCCACCCCCAAAGTTTCTGATTTGGTAGGTCTAGGATGAGGCCCAAGAAGTTGTGTCTAACAAATTCCCAAGCGATAATGATGTTGCTGGTCCGAGAACTACACTTTCGGAGCCACTGGTGTAGTTAATGTGCAGGCTCTGGAATCAGATTTCCTAGGTACAAAGGGCCGCCCCGTCATTCATTAACTGGGAGCTTTTGTGCAGGTTAACCTCTCTGTTGTAGCCATTTCCCCTCCTGTTTAAAAGAAAACAAGCGGAGCTGGCCAGTTAGCTCAAATGGTTAGAGCACAGTGTTATAACACCAAGGTTAATGGTTCAGATCCCCATACCAGCCAGCCACCAAAAATAAATAAATGAGTAAATAAAATAAAAATGAGGATAGGAACTGCACCTGTTTCATGGTCTGGTTTTGAAGGGCAGAGGAGATAACGTATAGCCAACACAACCTGTTACATGCAGTGCTCGCTAAATCCCAGTCTGGACACACCAACGCTGCAGAGCTGCTCTTGGGCTCAATGCCCGATGCTGTCCTGATCCACCTGCCCATGTCAGAGCCTCATGTGGCCCTGGGTGCCAACAGTCTGCGGAGCTTAGGCAAGCTGGACTATCCGGACCTTGCCGGTTGCAATAACTCCTGAAGGCGCCCGTGCGGAATCCGCGCTATCATTCAAGTCCATTTCAAAGACCCTCATTCAAACACTGCCTTGGCTGCCACCAACTTGAACACCTTTATCAACACCCTGGTGTTCTTCTGGGCCCAGTGTTAAGTTTAAAAGACAACAACCAAACAAAAACAAATCTAAAAAAAAAAGTCCTGAAGAGTTCAATTGCTAGCCTTGCTTTTTGTTTTTATTATCAACAATCAAGTTAATGGTACACTCTTGGAAAACTATATGCACATGTAGAAATATTTCCCTTTTAAATAGATGCATTCATTATAACACATATAAATAAATTCGAAAATCTGAAACATAACTTATGACGATTATGTTCACAAACATAGTCCAACAAGAAGAAAAAAATAAATCAGACAAACATGCACCTGATAACAAAAATATATACCGTTGTCTGAACTGTGATCGCTCTAAACACAAATAAATTGAACCCGTGAGAACCTTATTACGCCATAAAGACACGCCATAGAGACTACAAGAAGAGAAAAACATTATACGGTCACGTAGAGGAGACGGTCTGTACTGATATTAACACGATACAATTGAGTCACAGAACACAGTTGTAGAAAGACACGGAAAAAGTTAAAGCCTCAACATTCAACTAATATCTATAGTTTGTGCCTTTTAAAATAAAAACAAAAAACCAAATCCCAACAGAGATGTCTAAACTGCAGGAAGAATGAAATTATCAATATACAGTCCACCCACCACAACAGGATGAGACCAGTTCAGATCGTTCAAACAGAAATGCACACGGAGACACTTCTGCAGACGTGTGTGTGTGTGTGCCTTTCCCTTGCTCGGTAGGTTTCTCTGCAGCCGGTTATTGGGCTACCATTGACTCCAATCCAAAGCAGTGCCAAAAAGTTCAGTGAAAGCTGGTGGAAGAAGAAAACGCCGGTGGGGGTGGCGGGAGACAAAAAAAGGAGAGTTGCGAAATACGAGACAGCTTGCGGAGCTTGTGGATGAAAAGGCATCTCATGGACAGGGCATCTTTCAGCGCCAAGAGGCTGCGGAGGTTTGGGGTTGAGAGTTGCAACTGTGTAGGGTTCAGATGCCCTAATGGCGGGGTGGTGTTCGGCGAGGTGGGACAGGCAAGTGGGCGCGAGAAAGTCACTTTGGCCGCTGGGACAGTCTGAGCGAGTCGTCGCAGCAATGGCCCGAACCAAGAACATGAGGGGAAAGGGGGCTGGAAAAGCGTCCCTACTTTCCCCCGAAGAGGAGCCCCAAGAGAGTCCACGCTGTCAGGAGGACACGAATTCAAAATTCACAAGATCGAGCCCTCAGACAGGGCCAGCTGCAGCTTCTCCCCTTCCCCCCTTTACTTTTTCTTTTTTATCCCCCCTTGGATTTTTTTTTTAAACCGTTTTGGGCTGTTTTTTTAAATGATTGCTGCCTTTTGAGTTTTTATTGTTAACTTCCTTTTTTGTTTTATTTTTCTCTTTTTCTAAGCAAGTCACTGAGTTGGTTGTGGCCCCCCATCTCTCCCTGTCACCTGCTCGGGCCACAGACACACATTCCCCGAAACAGACATACACCGACACGCAGACACAGCCCCCTGAGAGTGCCCCGAGTCCAGGTCGCGCTGCTCACAGCCCCCGGTCTGCAGGCGGAGCCCCGGCCCCTCTGCGCGGCCCCCAGGCGGGTGCGAAGCCAGGGAAGGGTTTTTTTGTTTTGTTTTGTTTTGTTTGGGGGTTGAGGAAGGGGGTAGGAGTGGGGTTGCAATGAGGGCGACCCCGTGTTCTCTTTATTCTTATCACGATAACTTTAGGCCCTCGATGAAAAAGCCACGGCAGCAACGACGACAATAGCCTTGGGCCTACCCACTCGCCCACTCGCCCGCCCGGGCCCTGGCTCGCCCGCTGTCGCCGTCGCCGTCGCCAGATCCCAGATCAGAACATACTGCTCTTCACTAAGGCGGCTTTGGCACCGTTGGGTCTTTGGAGAGAAGATAGGACGCTGGCAAAGGGGCCCCCGAGCGAATCCGGGATGGAGGTGATGGGGCCGGGGCCGGGAGCCCAGCCTTGTCCAGGGCCCCCGGCCGCAGCCAGGCCTCCAG